TTGGAAAAGTGTGACACTATGAAGCTGAATGGTGTTACAGATGATGCTCTTAGACTTCGCCTTTTTCCATTCTCATTACGGGATAGGGCGAAGGAATGGTTAAGAGATGAGGGTTCTGGTTCCTTTGATACATGGATAAACTAGTAAAAGCTTTTCTGGTCAAGTTCTTGGGACAAGAAAAGACTGCAAGATTAAGGAACGAGCTATCCACTTTCAGGCAATCAGATGAAGAATCCTTATATGACGCATGGAGGAGATTCAAGAGGTTACAGAGACAGTGCCCCCATCATGGCATACCTGAATGGATGTTAATCCAAACATTCTATAATGGTCTAACCCATGAGTTCCGGATCTATATCGACGCCGCATCTGGAGGCTCCCTTCTAACTAAAAATCCAACCGAAGCAAAGGAGCTGGTTGAGAAGATGTCAGCCAATGACAACTATCACCCAGGCGGCCGAAATAATGTCAAGAAAGGAGGTAAATTAGATGTTGATGCTCTAACTCTTTTAACTAGTTCTGTGCAGGCACTTTCAAGCAAGTTCGATAGACTACAAACTGGATCTTCCAATAATGTGCTAGAAACTTGTCAAATGTGTAATACTCAAGGTCACATCGCACCTAATTGCCCACGAAATTCGAATGAGGTATCAATTGAGGAAGCCAATGCCTTCTACAATTCCAACCCTAAAAGACCATACGATCCCCATTCTAATACTTATAATGAAGGTTGGAAGAATCACCCAAACTTCTCATACAAAAACACCCAAGCTCAGCAAAATCCACCTCCGCCCCCACCTCGAAACAACAATTATAATCCACCTGGTTTCCAACCAAGACCACCCCTAGTACAACAACCCATGCAACCCATGCAACCACCCCCTCAAAAATCCAATCTCGAACTAATGATGGAAACTTCATCAACACCACAAATAATTCCATCCAACAGTTACAAGCCCAGAATAAGCTCATGGAAAATCAAATAAGCCAACTTGCTCATCAAGTCGGCCAATCTTCAAAAACACCGGGTACGTTTCCTGGCCAAACAGAGCAACACAAAAGGGGCACATGAATGCTGTAATTTTAAGGAGTGGAAAACAGTTGGAAGGCCTTCCCGTAAGGGAACCATCAACGATAGATATTGAGGGAATGAGAAAAACAGGGGATTTTGCAAAATTCTTCTTCGCCCGGTCAGACCGGGCAAGGTCCGCCCGATCGGGCGCGAGAAGCAGTCGACGAAAAACAGGGGAATGTGCGAATTTCTTCTTCGCCCGGTCAGACCGGGCAAAGTCCGCCCGATCGGGCGCACGAAGAAATTCCAGACAAACAAAAGAACATAAGCAGCTCTTCTTCGCCCGGTCAGACCGGGCAATCACTGCCCGACCGGGCGCGAGATCCAGACAGCCCAATTCCAAGGAATGATGTTCAAGAAAAGCCACGGGAATACATTCCAAGCGTCCCTTTTCCACAGAGGTTAGCCCAGGCTAAGTTAGAGAAAAAGTACGGTAAATTTCTAGACATCCTTAAGAAACTTCACATTAATATACCGTTCTTGGATGCAATTTCTGAAATGCCTTATGCAAAGTTTTTGAAAGACATGCTATCTAACAAGAAAAAGCTTGCAGAGAATGCTACTGTTTCTCTAACTGCAGAATGTAGTGCCATTCTGCAAAACACTCTTCCTAAGAAACTAGGTGATCCAGGCAGCTATTCAATCCCAGTGAAGCTGGGAGATATAGAGATCAATAGAGCGCTATGCGATCTTGGTGCAAGTGTAAGCCTTATGCCGCTCTCCATCTGCGAAAAGCTTCAAATGGGTGAGCTAAAGCCTACAAGGATATCTCTGCAACTTGCAGACAGGTCAGTTAAATTTCCCCTCGGTATACTTGAAGATGTTCCATTGCGAGTTGGTAAATTCTTTATTCCATGTGATTTTGTTGTTATGGAAATGGAAGAAGATGCCCATGTCCCTATTATTCTTGGTAGACCATTCTTAGCTACTGCAGGTGCAATTATTGACATGAAGAATGGGAAAATAACATTTGAAGTAGGGGATGAGAAAATGGAGTATTCATTACTGAATGCTATGGGAAATCCGTCTATGGGTGAGACTATTTGTCAAGTGGATGTCCTCGATGATCTACAACAAGAACAACTTCCCCTGATCAAAAAGGAAGATGCTCTTGAAACGGTGTTGATAGGAAGTATCCATGATGAAGATTGGGAAGTAAGGGAGTACACGAGGCTACTAGAAGACGCAAAAGCTAATCCAATCATCGCTCCAGTCAAGGAAGTCCTTAGTACATCGAGTGTTGGGGAGAGTTCAACGCCTCCCGAGGTAGAGTTGAAACCCCTTCCATCTAATCTTAAATATGCATATCTTGGTCCCAAAAATACATACCCTGTTATTGTTAATGCTGAGCTTAATAACATTGAATTAGAGAAACTTCTCGCTGTTTTAAGAAAATATAGAAATGTTATTGGGTATACCATTGATGATATCAAGGGTATTAATCCCTCTTTTTGTATGCATAAGATCATTCTTGAGGACGATCATGCCTCCTCTAGAGAACCTCAAAGAAGACTAAACCCAACTATGATGGAGGTAGTCAAGAAAGAGGTTCTCAAATTGCTTGCTGCAGGAATAATCTACCCTATCTCAGATAGTAAGTGGGTTAGTCCTGTACAAGTAGTACCAAAGAAAGGAGGTATGACAGTTGTCAAGAATGACAAAGGCGAGCCTGTTGCCACAAGAAACTGTTACAGGGGTGCGGATGTGCATTGATTACAGAAAATTAAATAAAGCCACCCGTAAAGATCATTTCCCCTTGCCTTTCATTGATCAAATGCTCGAACGATTGGCTAACCATTCCTTTTTCTGTTACTTGGATGGATATTCCGGTTTTTTTTTCAAATCCCCATCCGCCCTTGTGATCAGGAAAAGACTACATTCACATGTCCATATGGCACCTTCGCATATCGCAGAATGCCATTTGGACTGTGTAATGCCCCAGCCACGTTCCAACGGTGTGTATGATGGCTATTTTCTCAGGTCTCATAGAAAATTCTATGGAAGTTTTTATGGATGATTTTTCTGTTTATGGTTCATCTTTCGATATTTGTCTTGAAAATCTAACAAAGGTGCTCCATAGATGCCAGGATGTCAATCTGATATTGAACTGGGAGAAGTGCCATTTTATGGTACAACAGGGAATCGTTTTAGGCCATGTAGTTTCAAACAAAGGGATTGAGGTGGACAAAGCCAAAGTAGAGGTAATACAGAAACTTCCCCCTCCAAATTCTGTGAAAGGAGTACGAAGTTTCCTTGGCCATTGCAGGTTTTTATCGCAGGTTTATCAAGGATTTTTCAAAAATTGCTAGACCCTTAACTGAACTGTTAGCTAAGGACGCCCAATTTGATTTTAATGATGCTTGTCTTGAAGCTTTTAACAGGTTTGAAGGAAGCCTTAACCTCTGCTCCTGTTATACAACCCCCGGATTGGGCCCTACCCTTTGAAATCATGTGCGATGCTAGTGATTATGCGATAGGGGCCGTCCTGGGGCAACGAAAGGATAAGAAATTGCATGCTATATATTACTCTAGTAAAACTCTTAGCCCTGCTCAAATGAATTATGCAACTACTGAAAAAGAGATGCTAGCTGTCATATATGCAATAGATAAGTTTCATTCTTATTTAGTTGGGTCGAAAGTGATTATCCATACAGATCATGCGGCATTGAAATATCTGATGAGCAAGAGCAATGCCAAGCCGCGGTTGATTAGATGGATCCTCCAATTGCAGGATTATGATATAGAGATCAGAGATACGAAGGGGACAGAGAATGTCGTCGCAGACCATCTCTCTCGCCTCCTCCTTGATGAGGAGGATGAGGATAACCTCCCATTTGATGACTCTTTTCCCGTTGAGCGTTTGTTAGCTCTTTTACAGGTTGAATCTCCTTGGTATGCTGATTTAGCTAACTATCTTTCTACAGGTACAATGCCTCACGGTTACTCTTATCAACAAAGGAAGAAATTCCTTTATGAGGCACACCGACACTTTTGGGAAGACCCTTTCTTGTACAAACTATGTGCCGATGCAGTGATCAGACGGTGCATTCCCGAAAGTGAGGTAAGCAATATAATTTCTCATTGCCATGACTTACCTTGTGGTGGACATGCAGGCCCCTCGAAAAACAACTGCAAAGATCCTACAATGCGGATTTTACTGGCCCACTATGTTTAAGGATGTGTACTCCTATGTCAAGGCCTGTGACCGTTGTCAACGAACGGGAAATATTTCCAAGAGGAACGAAATGCCACTCAACAACATACTCGAGGTCGAGTTGTTTGATGTGTGGGGATAGATTTCATGGGCCCTTTCTCTTCCTCTAAGGGGAATCGATACATTTTGGTAGCCGTTGACTACGTGTCAAAATGGGTTGAGGCCATTGCTACACCAAGCAATGATGCCCGTGTGGTAAGTAAATTCTTCAAGAAAAACATTTTCAATAGATTTGGTATCCCACGTGTGTTGATTAGTGACAGGGGAACACACTTCATGGAGAGCCGATTCGAAGCAATGTTGAAGAAATATGGAGTGCAGCACAAACTTGGAATTGGCTATCACCCCCAAACCAGTGGCCAAGTAGAGGTATCAAATCGAGAGATAAAGTCCATCCTAGAGAAAACAGTTGCAAGAACGAGAAAGGATTGGGCTGACAAAATTGATGATGCACTTTGGGCTTACCGAACAGCTTACAAAACTCCAATAGGTACAACCCCGTACAGACTTGTATACGGAAAAGCTTGTCACTTACCCGTCGAGCTAGAACATCGAGCATTTTGGGCCATCAAAAGCCTGAACTTTGACGCTAAGGCCGCGGGAGAGAAGAGGCTATTGCAGTTGAATGAGCTAGATGAGCTCCGCCTCGAAGCCTATGAGAGTTCAAAGCTTTATAAGGAGAAAACAAAAAGGTGGCACGACAAGGGCCTCATAAGAAGAGAATTCAAAGAAGGAGATCAAGTCCTTCTATTCAATTCAAGGTTGAAACTATTTCCAGGAAACTCAGGTCAAGATGGTCGGGCCCTTTCACGGTCTACAAAGCATATCCTTATGGCACCATTGAATTATGGAACAACACCGGGGGCACCTTCAAAGTCAACGGACAAAGGGTGAAGCACTATCGAGCGGGAGATCCTATTTGAAGAGAAGTCAGATATCACATTCTCTTCCCCGCCACAAACTCAATGAGGATGAATACGGTCAAGCTAATGACCTTCTAAACAAGCGCTTGCGGGAGGCAACCCGATTCTTTTTTCTATTTTCCTTAATATTTTATACTTTATCTTTCAGTTTATGTCTGTGTTATGCTGTTTTACAGAGAGTATCAAGCTAAGCACGAAGTGGGATGTCAAGAGAGCAGTCAAAGATCGAGTTATCGCGTTTTTGCTCTTCGCCCGGTCAGACCGGGCAAATTCCGCCCGATCGGGCGCGAGAGAAACAGAGAGCCAAAAAGAAGAGTATGAAGCTAAGCTTCTCTCCGCCCGATCAGACCGGGCAAAGCCCGCCCGATCGGGCGCGAGTAGCAGAATCTGAAAAAAAAAAAAAAAAAAAAAAAAAAAAAAAAAAAAAAAAAAAAAAGGAATTGAAGTCCAGTCTTCTTCGCCCGGTCAGACCGGGCAAAGAGCGCCCGATCGGGCGCGATGGAATCCTGCGGGTTTATATTAGGATTTCAGCAATCTTCTCTCATTCCCATTCCTCAAACTCTCATACCCTCTACTCTTTCTCTCTCTAAAAAATCCCCAATTCTAAAAACCCTAACTTCATCTCCCATCCAATTTCATCAAGATTCAACAATCAAATCCCTCAAATTCACCATACAAACCCAATTTTTTTTTTTTTTTTTTTTTTTTTTTTTTTTTTTGCAAAAATATTTCTGCAACTCCGTCCTCCTCTTTGTTCAACCTCAAGAAAACCCCAGGCTATCTCACCACTCACATAATTTCGAGCTTTTTGAAGATGTCTCAAAGGAAAAGAAACGAGAAGCACACCCCAACAACAACCACAATTGGACTTGGAAAGTGTAACCGGGTACCCACACGTGGTTTTCGTTCCGGAATTCCCAAACCAAAAGCAGCGGTTCATCGAGCTCTCGCGCCGAAAGGTAATCCCTACCCGATTCTTTGACCGTTCATTGCTTTCTAAGCTAGGAAATAGATTCGGAATGTAAGAATTTGTTTGCAAAATTAGGAATGTCTCAACTATTCAATATGAACTATAGAACTTATGAAGATTTAACTCTTGAATTTTGAGCTCATTTGATATTGAAAAGGGTAGGAATGGTTTGGTGAAGTATGTTGTGTATAGGTTGCTGAATAGGTCTCATAGAATGTCCTTAGAAGGCTTTGCTAGGAAGTTTTGGACTTCCTTGTACCGGCTTAACTGTGCAACCTAGTAGCTTCATTTCTGGGGAACTTTGGTTTGCTATGACTGGTGAAAACATTGAATCTTTCCAGCACGCCCTTTCACACAAAATCCACCAACCAGTCCTTAGGCTGTGGACTAGATTCACTGGGTGGACTATTTTTTGGTAGAATCGAACCTAATAATGTTAGGTCGGACGAGATTTCGATCTTAGGTAGCTATTTAAGGCGTGGGGATGAGGATGGAGACTTTTAAAATGAATATTGCACACTTGTTTGCCCTTCACCTTAAAAAGCAAGGCACCACTTATACGACAATTAAATCGAATGGTGAACGCTCTAACATTCCTATCGTCCTAGGAGGCCTTGTCACTCACCTAGCACTTCGGGAAGGCTTTTGATGAAGCCAGCCGATGCCCAGTGCCTGGCCCCATTACCTTAGATCAGCATTATCTCACTACTGGCGGTTTGGTTATCCATAGATTTTAATAGATTTAGTTTGGATCATAGGGAGAACCAACAGGCTTTCTGTGCCTTTACCTTCCCCTGACCTAACTAAGATTATGCCTCACCAGCCCTCCTACCTTCTCCAGTTCCCTAGTGATTCGTCTACCCCTGTACCAGCTGCCCCCACTAGGACCTATTTTAGGAGAGAGTCTGCTGGACCCTCTACCTCCTCCCTTGCTCCGCCTCCTCCTAGCGATCACGAGGCCATTATGGCCGGTATTAGGGAGCTTAGGGTAGGTCAGCTGGACCTTTCTACCCGAGTCCAGACCATAGAGACTAACCTTCGGGAGCTTAACGCAGGCCAGCAGGATTTTTCGCTTGTCTATGTATCCTGTTTATGACTACTTCTGCAGGCAAGGGTATATCCCGAGGGATGGTCCCCATCCTTTCTTGGTATCACTTTCCCGGTGCGGGAGATATGGCAGGTGGCAGTGGCACAGCTGGTGTCGAGGATGATGGTGTTGATGATGATGATGTTTGATGATGATGATGTTGATGATGATGATGTTGGTGGTGATGATGATGGCCCCTCCGCTTCCTTTTGAGGAGCCGTCGAGATTGCTATGCTCTCCTTTAAGCTGCAATGAGGCCATTGCCGCGTTTAGCTTGGGGGAAGTTACTTCGTACATGTTGGTATTCTCTCTCCTTATCTCTCTTATCTTTCTTGTTTTATTTTAGTGTAGTTATTTTAGTTGTTTTCTTCTTAAAAAAAAAAAAAATACAAAAAATACGATCCAATGAATAATAAATCATGCTTCCCTGTGCCCCATTCATGAAAATTGTTTTAATTCTTGGTATATGATGACGAGTATTGTGGATAGGTTAGCCATGATTTGATGTTTGATTGCTTGGATGTCTTACCATGAGTCAATTTTGCCCAACTACTTGTGAATATAGTGCTTGACTAGTTGATTTGGTTAGGAATGTGTGTTAGTTTCCTGGTATGTCAATGAAGTTGAGTATTGGGTTTATAACTTTGAGTAATGTTTGCATGACTCATTAATATGCACATTGAGGAGGACGAAGGCATTTGTTCCTCTAGGTGGCCTTCAGACGATATTAGATACATTTGTTCCCTTCTTGCTACCCATGTTGTTGCTTGTGCCCTTTTATTGTTTATTTTGCCACATTACAAGCCTATTTAAGCCCCATTGGTTACTAGTCCCAAGCTTAGCTTGGGGGAGCTAATAGTGAGTGAGGCGAGGGAGTTGTAGTGTGCATGTAATTTGCACAATTTTGGGTGGATTTTGAGAAGTTTCTTATTTGTTCTTATTGTTGTGGATTGAAAAAAAGAAAAAAAATTGAAAAATTTATTGTGCAAAGAAAAAAAAAAAAAATTCCAATGTGAGAGAAAAGAAAAAGAAAGAGCAAAGGAAAAAAAATTGTTTCAATGTTCAAGTGTTCTAAATTGAAGGCTGCTCAAGAAAAAAAAAGAGAGTTCAAAGTTTGTTTGTTTACTCAAGTTCTATAATTTTATATTTTGTATATATGAGTGAAATTTTAAGTGTTGGAAATTTTTAATATAATTGGGATGTTTTGGTGAATTTTTGGTAGAGCTGAGTTGTGTTGGAGATGATTTTGGTCATTAATTTGTTTTTGACCTTGGTTTTATTTATTAGGATTTTGGCTCCCTTAAGCATAGCTTTACTCTTACATTTTCCCAAATATTTCCCACCTTTTACCCTAGCCTTACATTACAAGCTTTGAAGACCTTCTGACCTTTGTGCATAGAGTTGTGTGAATGTGAAATTTAGTTGTTTTCCAATGCAAAGAATGATTTGATATATTTCGAGTCGACTGCTAGGTTTGAGTGCTTGTTTTCTTAAAACACACGAGTGCGTGAGCTTGGGAGGGCATTGTTCACATTTAAAGGAGTTGGATGGAGAGCGACCGAGTATATCTTTTACTCGCCACATAAATGAGAGTTGAGTGTGTGAACACTAGTCTTGAATTCTATATGCTCTTGTGGTTTGCTCTATTTGACCATTGTTAGACAGGATGAGTAGTTAGATGGATTTGATTGGTTGACTTTGATGCATAACTGTCGAGTTTACCTTTAATCGTATTTATTGATTTGAGTTACTTTTGGGGTGAAGTATTGATTTATTTATTCATTGCTTTGCTTAGGACAAGCAAAGGTTTAGCTTGGGGGAATTTGATATACGTGTTTTATACAATGGTTTTTCCCCGGTTTGATTGCATGATTTTACATGGTTTTGAGCTCTACGGAGCTATTTCTTGCTAACAATCTCTTCTTTAGTGTATTCGATTGTTTTAGTAAGCTTTTCAGGAATATGAAGCGTTTCTAGGCAATTGGACGTGTTTTTAGTAGATTCGGAAGAGTTGATAGCCAAGAACTGCAATTTATGTGGAATGCCCGACCGGGCATGGCTTGCCCGGGCAGACCGGGCAATGAGGAGTTCACAGGAAGAAGCCCAATTCTGAACGGTGGCAACGCGCGCCCGATCGGGCAGGCTTCGCCCGGTCAGACCGGGCGATGAAGAAATCAAGTTATGAGATGCAATTTTGGAAACGTGTTACGCGCGCCCGACCGGGCGAGGTTCGCCCGGTCAGACCGGGCAAAGAAGGAAAACTGTCGTATTTTACGCAGCCTTCCTCCGCCCGATCGGGCGAGGTCCGCCCGGTCAGACCGGGCAAAGCTCAAGAACGCGTATTTTCTTATTTTTCCGAAAATATTATCTTTTGGGGGTATAAATACCCTTTTGTAATTAACTTTTAGACAGTTAGTTTTTCATTAGTTTTCTCCTTAAGCCCTAGAAAACTCTCAAGAACCCTAGTTTTATTTTCTTAAGCAATTTCAATCTTTAATCCTAGTTTTAATTAATTGTTCCTCAAGAATTCAAGATCATCAATTGAAGTATTTGGTATTTCTTACTTTCCATCTCTTTTATTTATTTTATAGTTCTTTAATTATGTGTTCTCTATTAGATCTTGTTTTTGATTTAATTATGATTTGTGAGTAGTTTCCTTAATCCGGGATCTTGCTAAGCCCGATTATGATTGATGTATAAAGTAGATCTTTTAAATTCCCAATAATAATCCCAATTGACATGCTTAATTGATTGTGTTTATGCCAATACTAGATTAGGGATAATTAGTATTGTTATCATCCCTTTGTTCTTATTGCAACGGAAGTTGGGTATTAACGGGATTAGGTTATTTCAATTAAGGGTTTGAAGATCATCAACGGAAGTAGAATGATTGAATAATTAGGAATCTAGGCATGGTGTTTAATGTCCCTTATTCGCTTGATTCCACGGAAGTAGGCTTGATAGTTTAATTTGGGAAGCCATTGATAACTCGGAAGAGACCTTTGGTATTATTATTAGGGATTGCTTTTCTTCTTGTCAATTGATTTATATATTGGGGGTAGATTTATTAGTTTATCAATCATAATCGTGGTGATGCTTGATCTTGGATGCTTTAGTTTATTGATTAATATTTC